CCAGCCCACCTTAAAAGCCAGACGCTCACTCTGTTCCAGGCTCTGCATTGGAACACGGACACCCGGAGGCCCGCCTACCACCGGGTCGCCCTACGTCCACGGCTCGAGGGCACAGGCCTCCTATCAGCATCCCGAACCAGCCGAGTCCGGGACTTGGAGTGCGTGGTCCCGTAACCCCGTTTATCTCCCCAGCCCTTCGCCGGATCCCGCTCCGGTTTTTAACTTTGTCAAGTCTGTCTTGGATTGGATCACCCGGCTCTGGACTTTTGCCTGCTCTGTATTTCCCTTTGGACTCCCCTTGGACTGTTTGCCTGGACCACGCCCCCCCCGAGCACCTGCGCACCTTCGTCACGACCCCCTGTTCGTCTACCAGCCCAGTTCCTCGTCTCCTCCCCGTGTCTGTTCACTCCCTTCCGGATTCTGCTGTCTGCATAGGGTCCTGAAAATGCTTCGTAACATCAAGCTCCCAAGGCACTCTCTATACCCAGCAAACACAGGTCCAACCTCACCCAAGGAGAAATTCAGGCAATCCAGTCTATCCACAACAGAGATGATATCGTCATCAAACCAGCGGACAAAGGAGGCGCTGTTGTAGTATGACGTAAGGACCTACATATCCTTAAAGCCTCTAGACAACTAACTAACACTTCTGCCTACCTCCCTCTCCAACAGGACCATACCACTAACTACCAGTAGAAAGTGGTATCCACCATCTTATCCTATCGTATCAGCAGTAAAGAGATCCTCAAGGAGGTGAACTGGCTCATCATTGAACATCCCCAGGTATCTCAATTATACCTTCTCCCCAAAATCCACAAACTGGACACCCCTGGATGCCCCATCGTATCAGGATGCAACTGTCCGACTACTTACATCTTGGCCTTTCTCGACAGCGTCATGAGACTGCTGGTTGCAGGTCTTCCCTCATACATCAAGGACACCAAGCATGCCCTCCAACTTTTTAATGATTTCCAATTTCAGGGCCCCGAATGCTACATTTTTACCATTGACATTACATATCTTTACACCGTCATTCCCCATAGTGATGGCCCTACAGCCCTCAAGCACACGCTGGACAAATGCACAGCGCTTGACCCACCCACCCACACCCTGGTACGCCTTGCAGAATTCGTTCTCACACTGAATGCTTTCTCATTCAATAACCTTTTTATCAGCAGGTTATTGGAGTTGCCATGGGCACCAGAATGGTGCCAAGCTATAGCTACCAGCTATGCCAATATTTTTCTCGGCTGTGTAGAAGAATGCTTCTTCACTTCCTACACTGGCTTTGTCCCTGACCTCTACAAGCGATACATCGATGACTGCGTCGGTGCCACCACATGCTCTAACGACCAGCTTGAGCACTTTCTGCATCACTTCACCAACTCCCACCCATCCCTCAAATATACAGTTAACATATCTTTCACTACTCTTCCGATTCTAGACATCAACTTCTCCATTAACTATCAGGACTCTCTACTTCGGTCTATTACATTCCCAGTGATTCACACAACTATCTCCTGTATAGCTCATTTCACCCCAAACACACTAAAAACTCTCCTTTTCTCACAGTTCCTTTGGCTACGACGGCTCTGCAGCGACGACATCAATTTCCAGAACCAAGCCCTCAAAATGTACTCTTTTTCATCAACAGAGGATACCCTAGCAGTGTTATTGACAAGGCCCTTGGCCAAGCCAAAACCTCTCCTCACCTATCCTGACTTCATACCTCCTGATTGGCCTCTCTTTCTGTCCCCTGCTCCCTCCTCTCGCTCCTCCTCTCTCCCAGCTTTTGTTCTCCCGCTACATTACCTTTGCCTACTGCCCTGTCTTTCTCACACCTGAAGAAGGCTCCATGGCTGAAACGTTGTGTTTTCTCTCTTCTCTTTTCAGTATGGAATAAACGTATTACTTTTTCTTATATACGGTATATATTATACATATAACATACTTGCTTTACATTTGTTGATATCTAAATATTGCAATCCTTAAAACACTAACACACAGTATTTGCATTATGGAACAAGTAATAGGTTTATTCCATACTGAAAAGAGAGGTTTTCAGGCCGTGGAGCCTTCTTCAGGTGGGCATTATAGCAATGTATTTATAGGTTCATTATAGCAATGTATTTATAGGTTCATTATAGCAATGTATTTCTCTACACAGTACTGCATTGCTTACAGATGCTACGACTTCATTCGAAAACAATAGCGGTAACTGTTAAAACAGCTACAATTACACTGACGCTGTGATCACCCATTGCTGGTTTGGAAAAAAAAAAACATTTAAAGGCTTTTAGTATTTATATGGGTTTTTACCATAAGGCCATGCTTAGCATGCTACTAGATCTATAGAAAACGAGGATATGTTTGGTGATCTTAGATTTAGAAATGAAAGGATAAGTGATGGCAATTTTTTATTTTATGATACTATATAGCTTTATTGTAGTGCTACACAAACACGGGCATTGAATGCCAGAACCATTCAAGAACACGAATAGTTTACACAGACACATTTTTTCAGCTTGAGAAATTCCAATTATCTTTCCTTTTCTACTCCTTGTATTGCCTGTTCCAGCGACTGTATTTATCTCTGTGGCCCTGGAATGGCAAAGCAAATTTTTTCCCCTCTTCTTCGGTGGATGTTCTGTGGAGTTATTGCTTTAATAAAATGACCACTGAGTGTGTTTGTTCCTGAGTCCCTATGAAATGTCCGGTGTAATTATATTTTGCTAAACCAGTGACATTTATTGGCTTACAGTGATGGTACGTTTGAAAAGCAGTCTGTTTTGCTGCTGCACATACAGTACAGCATGAGACTTACAGACCCTTACAAAGTGATTTTATTTCCTTTGGGTCTTCAGCAGCAAAACTGACAAATTCTGAATTAATGTGAGCACTAGGGGTCTAGTTCTGCAAATGCTGTATCTAAGTAACGTTTTCATAGTTTTTAATTTAATTGTACTCACCGTGTGTGCACTTACTGTACATGTACTGTATATTCAAATTGTACTGGCAATAAAAACATTTCAAAAGGCTGACAAAGGATATACTAGCCAATCTTTGAAATTAATGCCACTGAGAAAGCATAATTAAATTCAATGGACTGAATACTTGAAGATTAGGATCATTCAGAGTACAATAGTGTATTGGCTTTATACATGTTTTCTTATGCTTACTACACTATTGGAAACAAATTTCACACTTTGCTCAATAAACACTTTCAAAAGGCAAAACGGTTCAATCATTAAGTTAAGCTCCTTTAAGAAGAAGCAAAATCTACAAAATCTATTAGTTACCCCTGTGCTGAAGCACGTGAAGTAGTTTGTTGTGTAGTATTTTGTGAGTTTTGCATACATCTTGATTTTCCAAGGCTGTTTCAAGAATTATGTTTAAGTTTTTCTTTTAGAATATGCCCCCACACTAACTCCGTAATCTGTTACAAAACGTTTGTCTTGGGCGGAATATACCCTTAGTAACAAAGCGTCATGTAAATAATGTTATACAGTCCTAGGGACCACTTCACTGTAACTATAGCTATTGACACACCCAAGGAGGCAAAGCCTTTTAAAACCAGCAAAAAAAAGCAAGCAATTGAAGATTAATTCTGTAGTATTAAAGCTACCATGTGATTTCCCAAGAAATAACACTGGAAAACAAGGATCAATGATATGTGGGCAATCCAACATGATCAAGGAGAATAAAAATGAAATATTGGCTGTGTTTTACCACACAAAATCACATTAGATTAGAAAAGAATACTGCACTATTTTTTAAATCTGAAATAGAAAAAAGACTGGGTATACTTTTTTCCCTGTTTTATTTTTTATAAGCAGTGGAAAAATATTTCTTCACAGACGTGCGATGGCTTTATTTCACCTAACTCTAAAGAGGCCTGGTTGTGTTGCAATAACAAGAAAGTGAAAAGCAAAATAAAAAAAAAATGCTGTGTATATAGTTTACTTGAAGAAAAACTGGAAATGTCTGATTGTACTTGTGGTTGTGAAATAGTATCTTACATTTCATCTACCGATTATGTCTATCTATAGCTATACTTTGAAGAAAGCAACGCATTTAAATTAAATTTAAAAATCTATGTGCCAAACCAAAAGGCTTAAGTGACATAGTTAGTGCAGCCCATACATTTATAAACTGGAGCTCTGCTCTTTAAACTGAAGTCTGTCTTCACAATTTTAGTTGACCTTAACTAAAATTAGATGCAAGCACCTGTTACCCAGAGCAGCTCATTTTAAACATTCATGAGCTGCTTTGCATATGCAAGCTAGAATTCTCCCTTATTTGTTAGTAATATATGAATCTTATCCTAAGGCGTTTTATCTCTAATGGCAAACTCTACTTGAATTGTGCAGATTTCTGTTATGATTTCTGTTTTTGTTCTCACTCAAAATAGGTTCTGCGTCCACCAGTATTTCCCACCTGAATCAGAGTCGTTAAGCACGATTTAAATTAAGCCAGACATGAGACTGAAAAACACACTTTACTTCAGGGGTATGGGGGTGGTTTCCATTAACTTTCCCGTTTGTTAACCTGACAGCAATGGACTGTAACCCACATTACAGATGTGCACATTCCTGCTATGCTGTGTACTGTAACTGAGGACTCTAGAGAAACAGACAGCCAGTGTGCCAATATACAGTAGGATTTGAGATTTTTTTAGGCGTACCCATGGTTTTGTCAAGTCTGAGTCTCGGATTTACTTTGGTACGTGTAAGTCTGCTGGATCATCTTCCATGTCTCTGCTGGCTCACAGTGCTTTTTTCAGTGGAATCACTGCCCTCTGCTACATGACATTTTACTGAGCTATAACACCTTAAACCTTTTACGCCAGACTACCTGTTATCATTCCCTGCAGCCCCTCTGTCACCAGACCACCTCTGTTCTAATGCTCCCTGCTCACCCTGGTCTGCTGGGTTTCACGGACTTGTATCTGCAGGAAGCAGGAAGCAGGAAGCAGGAAGCAGGAAGTGCGGGGACCATACCTGGATGGTGGGGGGAGACCGGTGCTTTCTGGTGGTCGTGGTGGACATGGTGGTGGTCGTCTCGATGAAGGTGGTTGACATTTCTGGAGGTACGGAGGTCGTTGTGGCTGATCCGTGGACAGAAGGAACATCGCCCACTAGTCTGACACTCCCATTGATTTTAATATTGGGGTTGTTTTCAGCGGCCATGTTCAGCACCTTGAGACCATTGTAGTACAGGCCAGAGAGCTGTCCCTGGTAGGGTCTCTTTCGGTCATTGCCTCCAATGGTTATAGTTGCCTGGGTGTTGAAGATCGTCAGCTGCCGGCCTGGGAAGGACAAGAAATAAAAAAGGGATACAAAATATTAAACAGCGACAACATCACAACTTTCTAATTTTCATCTGGGTACAGATAGTTTAATCAACAATAATGGTCTCTTTAAGCAATTAAAGCTAAGCTGATATTTACATGTGTTCCATGATTCTGCAGATAGAGTGAATGTTTTCACAACAGTAAATTACATAGCTCATCTCTCTTTTACTGTTGTGAAAACAGTTGTATAGGCTTCTGTAAGTGAAGGATGTTTCTAACGGAGCACTTTTTTAATCGTGCTACAGCTTTTTTTTACCTCTCCTTGAAAATCTATAATCATCAAAAATGAGGAGCTGAAAACGCTGTAATCAAAGGCCAGAGACTAAAACAAGTAGAAATGAGATTCTTAAAGGCATAATTTTGCTTAAAAACCTTGACCCAAACAGCAGGCTGATATCTGTGAGAGTCGATAATTCTGTTTGAGGGGCAGCAGCCCTGCCACAGAGTCAGATCACAACATCTGGTCGAAGGCAGACATCTTACGTTATCTTGGCCTAAAGGTCATCATTTTGAGAAATCATAATTATGGGTTCTCAAGAAAAAGACAGAATGGTCAGTTAAAGGTCACATTTTTATGTTCTGCTCCAAATTACACCTTTGAGGGCACTTTAGTGAGATCATGGATTAAACACAAGCCCATAAATCTTTTAGCACTGACATACTAAAGAAATAGTATGTCAATGAAAGAAATTGGTAGGCAACATTAAAAAGACGTAAAAAAATGTTACCTTGTGATCTGAAAGGGAGGGTTGATCAATGCAAAGATTCTATGAAAGAGGTCAAATCTAACCTATTTGCTAAGCCCATTTCCTAGTACCTGTTTGCTAAAAGGCTAATCACACTTGTTTTTCACATTTTGCATCTCATCTACTGTACTGCACAGTAAAAACCAGGGTTATTTGCTGTCGGTTTACTAGACTTGGGTGGAACATTCCTGCATGTCTGTCTGTGATGTACTTTAGTTGGGCTCTACAAAAGCGTGCTTTCAGGGGTGGGTAGCACAGCGAGGTCATGTACACATTTAACAGATGCAATGGATGGCAAATTAGTCTGATTGCCTTTTAGCAAAATCCGTGCAGATGAATATACTGAAATTCAAAACACTGTAGATACTCCAATACCTTACTAAGCGGCATGCTTAATAAAACTGTCATGTGACACATTTCACAACTCAATTACATTTGGCATCAAATAAAAATTCACAGACATACACCACATAGCAAGTTGATTCATGCATGTAAGCATTTATAATGGGATTTGAAAATAGCTTTGTGTTTTAGAGATTGTTAAAGGGACTTTATAATCTACTTAGGAAGTTTAAGTAATGACCTTTAAATGCATTTTATAATGATATTAACCCATAATGGTAATTCATGCAGCATTCCCTCTAAGTATTATGCTCAGAAAAAAAGACACATTTTAAGTAGAATAATTACTTCTGCATCAGAATCTCTGTTGACCTGTAAATTATTGACAGATCTACTTGTACACAGAATTGTACATGTACCTTAGAGGGAATGAATTATGACAGGCTGATTTTGTCTGGTTTGTTAAAAGTTAATTAACAAGTTTTAAATTAAATATTTTAAGCATGCTATAAATAGTTATACACCTGCTCATGCATTATTTATAGCACTGTATACATCTACGCAGTCCCAGTCCCTTTAACTGAGTTGGATGGAAATGCATTATAATGTGATTTAGACAACGAAACATAACATAAAACTACAATAAAACTGGAACATAAATTAAAACATTCATTTATGAGTACGAAAAATGATTTTGGTTAACTGACATTTATTGCAGGCTTTATTAGTGTTTATTTATGAGGTAAAAAAACAAACAAAATAATCTGTCCAATTTTAAAAGTTTAATAAAGGTTACCTTTCTCTTGAAGCCATTCCTCTACGGGCCGGGTATATTTGAATGGGATTTTCTTATTTACCATTTGAAGACGCTCATAATCACTGCTGCCTTTAAAGTTTAAAAAACAGCTTGAAACAGTCGGCAAGGGCAATGGTTATTTAAGCACATTTTCCTTTGGAACAGTTTTTTAAACATTTTTATGAAAAAGTTTAGCCATTTTTTAAGCGAAGTTATTTATTACACTGGCATTTATATTTTCATTTTGTTTCCTGAATTTGAAGACATTCTACATCTCCCTTACAGTACTGACTTCAGAAAGATTAAGTTTAATGAAAATTAAAATTTATGGCCCCTATTATTCAGTTCAATGGAGTAACATTCAAAAAGCTCATCAGCTGAAGTATTGGTGAGGTTCTCTTTGAGGTTGCAAGCAACGAAAATAAACATTTTTAAATGAAAGATTATAAATTGAGGACATATTCGTTTCCGCATTAAGAATTTTTCAACAACCTCACTAAATCATTATGCAATCTACTTTTCTTTTGACAAAATGCTGCGCATATGTGATCTGAATATTTTAATGTTGCATGAAGATTTCAAGACAAGCCGTTACAGTATATTCAAAAGACTGACATTTTAAAATTTTAAAAAGTGCTATGCTGATCATAAAACGTAATGGTGTCTTTGCTGAATAGCATATGCCTTTTATCACAGAGGTTGGACAGGAAACAGCAAATCGAACAGCAATAGTGCATATAGATTTTACACATAAAAAAGATATGATTTCATAGTTACACGTATAGAAACAATATATGTTCTAGATGTATAAATCAATAAAATATTAATCGTGTTTAAAATGATAGCATTGGCCAGAACTGAAGAAAAAAGAGAGCGGGTTTAGTTCAGATAGGCCCTGGGTGTGTCAGAGATAGTCAAGACGACTGGCTGGAAGCTGTGTGTTTTTTTGGTAGGCTTCCAGGCCCTGCTGTTCACCCAACAGTATAAAGTTGTACCACCAGGGAGGCAGCATCCGAGCACAGTAGGAATCACATACCAGCACAGGGTGTGAACCAGTGCAGCACAAGGCCATGACAGGAAGGTAAGGCACTCAGGTGGCGCATACAGTACAGTACAGCCCAGCATGTGACTAGAGCAAGGGCCTCATTCTGTGTGTGGTACTGGCCCTCAGCCACAGACCTGTCAGAGGAAGCACACTGATGTACTGTACAGATTCACCCTGTTAATAATAATAACAATAATTATAACAACGAAAATGCAATATTTATTTATTATATTGAATGTCAACAACTGCCTACATACAAAAAATATGGGGTATAGATTTCTAAATTCTTATCCTATTACAGAATGCAGGCTTCACAAATGTTTGAATCAAACAACCCACACTCTGAATTTATACATCCATTTACTGTATGATAAATTGGAGAATTAGCTAAAAAAAAACAGTTTCTAAACACTGAACAACACAGAATTGTAGGAAAGCAGAAACAGTTTAGCAGAGATTTGAAATAGCCTTATACTACTGAAGGTGAAATAAGGTTTGTGCGAAATTATCTAAAAGAAATAGCAATTTACAGTATGTGGTTGAAATAATCTGTGGTAAGTATGATATGCTGTATTTCAGCATATGAAACTTCACTAAATTGTTTTCAGCAAATAACACAAATTGAAAATAAATTAGAATTGACTAAACTAATTATTTATAAAACAGGCACAAATACTGATTTTGACTGCTTTGTGAAACATCAAAGGTTGCTGGAAGCCGAAATAGGTTGGAGAAAAATGTGATCACAAAGGACTAAGGGTTAATAAAAATTTAGCATGTTTTATGCCTTTGATCCAGTCAAGAGACTGTGAACATATTCACTGAGCCCCTATAGAGGAAGTAACTTCATCTCTAAAACTAAATATTGCCAGGAGGTGTAAATATGAGCTATCTGCTTCAGCTTATTTCCTTTTCCAACCTTTTACATGCACAGCTTAATGGTAGCCATGTATTTTAGTATTTAACATTACATATGAATATTGAACACAGCCTCTTATTCTGTCCTTAATGTTTCAGAATAGATACAAGAAGATTCCTCCCCAAACGAGACACAAAACCAACTCCAGGAAAGGCAAAGAAAAAGCACAGCAGGAATTCTTCTCCAGAGTGTTGGCGGTCAGTCTTAAATTATTTTTCTTAGCACACCCGAAAAAAAGCTTCATAATAAAGCAGACAGACGGCTTTGGATAAAACAAAGCAGTTGATCGTGTCACAAGGAAATACTATGTTGACCACAGGAAAATGATCGTGAGTGTCCTCAGCAATCTATGGAAAAGAGTGCTGTTTTCCTTCTGGCACAATCAAAACACAACAAACAGCATTTCCATAATAGTTTGCATTCAGAAATGATTAACATGAATGAGAGTGTTCTGTGCGAACGCTATGTCCCTCTGTTGAATTGTATATGAGGATCACTGTGGATTAGTAATGTATATCAATACTAGTGCTTTAGACAAGCACACACACATCTAGAAAAGACTTTGCAGTCAGTTTGTTGCTTGCAGTTTATTTTACACTAATTTTGCACTTTGCCCTAAAAATCTTACCTTTACATAATATTTCATCAGACACAGAAAGTTTGGTTCAATTAAGTATCAGTAATGACTCTTTGTGTGGTTCTTCATTACATCCAAACTGCCCAATAGCAGTGCTGTGAGAGTGAAGTGGGACACTGTGACTTCATCACTTCCCTTTAAAAGCACTGTTCTAAACTGTTACTTTAGGGCAAAAAAGTAAACAATTAAAATCTTCCGAAGAAATGTTATGTGGTTCTCAGCACAGGATGACAAAGTGACCTACAGGTGTATAATCTCTAAATAAAATTCTGCTTATTGCTGTCGTTAGCTACACACTGCCAAAAAGACTATTTGCGGTACAGTCCAACAGTATGGACAGTAAGTATCAGGCAATATGGTCAATATTACAATATATATATAAATATACAATAGAAAGAAAACATTTTTAAGAAAGGTGAGGTTAAACTGAAAACTCTGAAAATATTTTACCAACCTTGTGTGGGGGTATGTTTGAACACAAATGAAGAGAGTAAAGGGACGAAGTAAAGGGAGATGATGTTTATTGGGCAAAACCGAGCTTTTTTTTAAGGTTAATCAGACCACCAGACATTAGCACACTAGTCTTCTCACAAAGAATGTGTAAAGTGTAGCATGAACAGCAGTGCAGTTTAATGTGTTCCCAGTAGGGCATCACTTCCAACAGCACACTGCGCCTTAATGCCATGCTTGGATACCAGCGGAAAGCAAGCATGATCATTACTCATGGTCGAAGCCTGAACAAATATAGTCGGGTGATGAGAAGAACCACTGAGAGCAGGTCATCTTTGCAATCAGCGTGGCAGATCAATCTCACCAGCACATTGTCAGATAAAAGACAAGAAAGTGTGATTGCATTTTTATTTCTTGTCCTTCTTCTGTCATAGTCCTGCAAGAATTGTTCTAAATTACAGCATTTTTGTAGCATTAATATATCAAACCAAAAACTTCCTGCTACAGCGATCAGTTATACAATTCACCAATTAAAAACAGCAAGGGTCTTCACAGATGCTGGACTAGTTTCATGCTGTGAACACGGATATTGTTGGTGCAACAACAACAGAGCTGTCAGATCGTGCTCAAAGTTTTGCTGTGCACAAGACAAACCCTTAAATTCATCACCCATTTCTCTTGAACAGCATTTGCATCACAGGCTAGTAATTACATTCCATTTCATAGTACTCTGACGAACTGAAGCATTTCAAAAAAGGTAATTATATATTTATAGTTTACTACATTTTTCTTCAGGTGGTGCCTGTTTTTTCAGTTGTTGTTTTACTCAGCTGAAAGGGATAAAGCAATTTTGCCCAGTCTGTGAGAAAGTCAATGCAAAACACTTAATGCATAATTTTAAGGTAAAAAAATCCAACGAATGATGTTGCACACCATAAAACCATCGGTAAAGGCACGCCAATAAAATGTGAAGTCTATACCATGTTAGAAAGTAAATTTTTTTAAAAAGTCCTGTTTGTTTTTTTTCCGCATACTTAAAAATCAAACTGCCATGAAGCTGGGATGAGATGTTTTTGTAAATTCCTGGCAAGTAATAGTTATGTCGCATTTGATTAGGATCAGCATTTGTTTAGGTATCAAATGGCTTTGTGTACCACATAAAGTTGTAATTTCCTTTACTTATACATTTTGTTGTCGTACGTGTGAGTGATTGCTTGTTCATCTTCATCAGATGGGTTTGTGAAATATTTTGCAAACCTTTGTCATAAGGTGGCTGTATGAAAATATTGCCAGTTTTTTAAATATTCATTCCCTGTCGAAACACAGTTTGTTATATTCTGTCGATCTGTATGCCAATAATACTACTTTTTATCCATGCCAACCAGGGCATTCTTTAACCAGATTTACAGACAGAAAATCATCACACATTTATGCAGACTATGAGCTGTTTATCCTGACAAGACCTGTGTAGGTACAGTACATCTTTTTTGTAACAGTTTAGAGTCACTGACGTTTGGGTGTTTGATTGAGGAAGGGCAGACATCCAGGGAGCCCTTCAGCTTCCGACATGCTACCAGCTCTGCAGTGTCACACAGGGGGATTAGCACTGATTCGAGAAGGGGTGCATCCCTCAGTGACATCACTTCCCGGCACCTGGATAGGCTCGCTGTTGGCTGAGAGAGCCCTGGCCGACCAATCCCAGCCCTGGGCCAGTTACAGCACACAGTATCTCAGACACACGGTCGCTGTTGGTGAGTGCTATTCCCTGGGCTCAGAATTCTGACGTGGATCTCAGCTGAACCCTTGGGGGTGTGGGTGAGTGCATTTACCGGCTCCTTTTCTGTTTTTCACATGCAATCATGAATCTGGAAGAATTACAGCAAAGGAAAACAAAAACACTATGTGCAGAAACTGGGCATTCCTAAACGAATCAGATGGATTTTGGTAGATAGCATCTATTCAGGTTTTACTTTTCCTCTCACAGAATTGACTGGTAAGACTACAGAGTAAAATATAAACTTGGTGTTCTTTTTTTCCAT